CTTTTCCTCGTGCACATCTGCATTTTACCGTCTGCTGTGTTTAGTTGAGTTTATTTTTACTATTTTTCTATAATTTGCTTTTTTTTTATTCTTTGTTTTTGCTCTAAGCAATTACACAAGGCGTCGCCTGTGCAAGAAGAACAAATTGGGTCAACCGCAATTAATACAACTAAAAATAGCGGCAAAGCGCCCATTTCCCTCGCGAAAAAAAAAAATATATATATATATATATATATAATAATAATAAAATGAAAAACAATATGTGGTGCATACAACAAAAGCCTGGGGGAAAAAAATGATAATGAATAATGAGTGTGTTCAGCGTTGACAGAGCAATAGTTGTTTACACTTTTGTAGGCAGCAGGCGAAAACGTTCTCAAATAAAAAAAAAACATAAGTCAAAAAAATGTAGAGAAGAAAAACCAGCAATCGCTGATAACAGCGAGAACGATGCATCGGTGGCGTATACGTGATGTGGCTAAATAAGGGAGCATACTTGTCCACTAACCAACATGCGAATGCGACAATTGCATTTCACACAGCCCACCAAAGTGTCACCAATCACGTCTAACACATATGTACATATATCAGCAAATAGTTGGAAATTGATTGAAATCCACAATTTTAAGCAGCACAAACTACAGTGAGCTCTCCATAACACGGCCCTTCCATGTGAATGATTTGTACAGTTGCGCCGAAAACAAACTAACAGAATCATTCAACATTATTATTTGGCATTTCCCAAGCCACCCAACCTAGGATCGTTTCCAACGAGTGTTCACTGTAGCGCAACAGTGCGTGCTGGCAAATGGTTAGCAATGTGATGAAAACTTTTGACAAACACTGCGCTCATTTGTTTGTTTGTTTGCCGCTCGTACAGTGGGCATCAGGCACAGTGGGATGCCCTTCAATCAACCAACTTAAACCAATTGACACAGGCTCGTACATTAAACGTTTCCCACTAATTAGCACATTCGTTGATGTTCGAGAGCAGGAAAATACAACAAGAAAAAAAATATTAAAAAAAAACTAATGTGGAGTACCAAGCTACGTTATTTTTTCGTTAAACATTTGGTTAAATAGATGGATTGATAATTGATGGAAATGGGCGCAAGTCGGATGGCATTACGTATTCATATTGTTGACTAACGATTAAAGTAGTATTATTATTGTTATTATTAATATCTCTTATATTAATTTGCATACTGCATTGAGTGAAAAACGAACATGTGAACATGTGCTAACAGCTGGGAAAACATTCCATATAAGTCTGAATGGGCAGAGAGTGGGAAACAGGTGTATTCTAAACAATTACAAATGGAAAATATTTATGTATGTATGTATGCTCCCTTGAGTTGAAAATAAAAACGTAAAATATATGTATGTTATTCGCCGCAAAGTGAAATCCAAAAACCAAGTATGAGTCTTTATTGTAGGTCGCATAATAAGGCATTATTCATCCCATGGTTGTTGTTTCAGCAACTTGACTAATAAATGCTTGAAACACAACATTATACACCCAACTACCATTTAATCTTCATTTTATCGCCTCAATTCTGCTAATTTACCGCAGATCTTAATAAAATATTAACCATTGATACGTTTCTATAAGCTAATATGTAGCTAACGTGCTTTTGACCTGATATTTCCGCAGCATCTATTTTAAATGCGATTGTAATTGCAATTCGGATTCCAATTCTAATTTGGATGCAGATGCGTTGCTCTATTTTATTCGCCTTTGCTGTTGTATAACGAACGACAACGAAACTACAAAGTTGTCGTCGTCTCCTGTTGCTACTTTTAAGTTTTTCTTTTTTTTTAAATTTATTTTTTGTTTGCATTTTGCGCACTATTGCCGCCGCTTAGTTGTTGTTTTAATAGTCGCTATATCTTATCGCGCTAACAACTTGGTTGTGAGTGTGTTGGCACAGCTCTCGTGGCACGTGTGTGCGTTTTAGTTGAACACACCTGCACACACTCTCGCCCATACAAACACACACACGCACACGCACGCACACACCAATTGTACCCACATACATACATAATAATTTTCATTTTTTATGTAATCAACAAACAGAAAAAGCAACGTCTCAGCCTCAGTTTGCTTCTATGCTGAGGTTCTCAAAAAAAGCACTCCTCACACATACAGCATACAGCAGCGGGCAGTGGAATAGCTCGCAAGCAGCTGAAATATATCATCTTATACAATTCCTAAAGTTATATTTGACATTTAAAGGTACAAGAGCTAAGAAATTGTGCATGGTTGTCATACTAACAAGAAAATGTTTAATACTTTGAAAAGGTTATTTAAATTGTGTAAGATACCCAAGGAATTAAATTTGTCTGCGTTTTTTTTTTTCGTAATACGTTTTCATTAATTATCATTTAAAACACTGAATGCAACTGGAATGAAGCTACATACATGTGAGAAAAACAAAAATACACGAGGCGAAATAAAAAGAGAAGCCACTTTGGCAGCACGAGTTCTTTTTTTTATGACTAGGTTGTTGTTTTTGGGGTGGTGAGCGTCTTGCGTGCCGACTAGAACCACCCAAACGTTCGCCACCGCCCACAAAACCACCCACTTGCCGCCCCCGAAATGTCGGAAATGTTACGGCCGATATTCAATTAGTTTTTAATCCCGCCCAGCGTCAAGGAATTTCAATTTCCAATTGGTTTTTAAGTCGGAAATTGCCGCCACACGCATACACGCAACCCCCCCCTCCCCCCACCAAAAAAAAAAAAAAAAAAAAACAACAAATAGTAGGAAAAACAATAAACAATACACTTTACATACACACAAAGCCAAAAGCATTGAAAGCCTAAAGTGTTCATTGGATTTTCTTGAATGCTCGTTGCATAATCGCCCTGCTAATTGCACAGAGTGCTGGTGAACCCAAAACCCAAACTTAAAGCTACTAGTTCCACGTGATCCTCGCAATCTGCATAACTGCTAGCCGAGTTTTTCGTCATTCCTCTATTGATGATACAAATGAATTTTACAAACTATAGAAGACGGTTAACTATCAGGGGAAAAAATGAAAAAAAAGTAAATAAATAAAAAAAAATTAGAAAAAAAAAAGAGCAGGCAGGCAGGCAATGGCGAGGTCGCTTTATCAAGACACGACGCTATATGCTATATAGCACCACTAGCAACAACAAATTAGCGTCTCGGGCAGATAGAGAAAGGCAGCGAGACAGGGAGAGAGAAAGAGAGAGAGAGAGAGTGAGTGAGTGAGTGGCGGATAGAGGGAAGAAGGGGAGAGCGAAGAGCAGCAACAAATCACACGATCGCTAACTCACACATGAAATATGCAAGAGCAATAATAACAACAACGACGCCAAAATAAAACCAGTAACGAGTATTGTCAATCAAACATAGCATACCCTACCTACACATACATACATAGGAACCATTCGCGATCATCACTTTGTACTGCTAAAAGTCGAAAATTTCAGCAAGCTTATTATGTAAACGACCAATCGATATGAATTTTAATACATCTTTGTATTTGGATATGCTGGATATGCTGTATGCAAATTATAAGTGAACATCGCGATATCTGTCTAATATACCGAGAATTGTCAATAAAATACAGGGTATAATCAACGACAAAGCGTTGTCGATATTCTGCGCCGCCTCGTTTCTCTGCCAGAACATTTTCTTGCTGACGCAGCGTCGACGCACACCCCCTCCCCGCCCATTGCCCCAACCCCCGTCTCCACAAACACACACACCACGCTCGTGTGTAGATTTGTGTGTGCATGTAAGGGTAACAGGCCAACGCGAAACCGAGAAAAAAGTGACAACAAACCGAAGTGGATTACAGTGGAAAATCATAAAAAGCCTCCAAAAACGTGTTTTTCAAATAACAAAGAGATAATTCACTTCTCAATATACATTTACAAAACATAAATCAGGGTTTACAAAAGCTCTTTAGGCGAGATCTTAGAAAATTGAACTTAAGATTCACCATACTTAGGTCCACCAGTAGCTGGTGTAAATTGTAAAGCGCAAACATTCACTTTTCGGGGTAAAAGAGGCTTACATACATACATATGTATGTAGGTAAAAGGGTGTCAAACATTCGGCAGGGGATTTGCATTAGAATTGAAGTCGAAGTGGGGAAAATAACCCAGATTTTGATTGATATGCGTTCTTTGCACGAGTATACATATGTGTTTGTGCCAGCGCGCTTATATAAAAGACCAACAGGTGGCGACCATTTAATTTCCAAATTGATTGATGGAGAGGATCTCAATGAGTCGAAATTTTTGGCTTAACTAGAGTTTAGATTATTTTCAATTTCATTACATGCCAATTTGAAATGGAAAGTTTTTTCGAAATTGCAGTGACATTTTTAATTCAGCTATTTGGTGTAAAAATAATATCAAATTGATTTTTTCTTTCTGTGTGTAACAGAGTAGTTTGAAAAATATTGTGTTTAACTAACAATTGTGGTTTGGATTATTTTAATTTTTCATGCGGGTGCCCCGCCCCTTTTTTTTTTTGTAAGTAACACCCCTATCCTTTTTGATTTGAGGGATCATTGATAATTTCGCTTGCTTCCAGTTTCCAGTTTTCCCGTTTTCCAAGCGGGGGGCGTGAAAAGTGGAAATAACAGAAGCAGCAGCAGCAACAACAACATAGCGGGGGACACACGCACATTTGGTGACACACAAACACACACACACATACACCTACGATGGGCAGCACTAAAAATATTCCTCCACGTTGTTTAAGCTTTTTGTTGTTTTAGTTTTGTTTTATGCGTTGTTGCTGCTTTCCCTGCTATTTTTGTTATTTTTTATTTGGCACTCACTGTTGTTTTTTTGTTGTTTTCGGCTTTGCAGCGCACTCTCTCTTTTTCTTTTTGCGAATGATTCTTTTTTTTTTGTTTTCTGCTGGCGGCACTTGCAATTTATGTTTCGGATTATGCTATTAATTATCACAAATTAATAAAACACAAATACACTTGTAAAAAAAAGGTTTGGCATACCTACTGAATTATTTTTGGTTCATCAACGGCGACGTTTCGTTTGCTTGGCTTGCCTTGTTTTGGAGTCTTTACTTTTGTTTTTCTTTGCTTTTGCTGATGTTTACTTATTGCAGTTTATTGTTTAAGGGGGTTTTCTTCTCCTTTTTTTGTAAATACATTTACGTTTCTACGTCCGCTGCGCTGAACGGCAAAAAAATGAATGCGGCGACGAGCGCGAGCACGTCAGCCAGACAAACAGCGCAGTCGGCGGTGCCGTCAGCTGAGGCAGAACAACAACAGCAATGGAAAGCGTACAAAAAAACACAACAACAAATAAAACAAAAACACACACAGTTGTTCGATTACTTTTCTATCGAATAATTCGTATATTTCGTGTGGAAAACTTAAATCTGGCATTGCTGATATTCGAGCTGCCGCATTAACATAAGGCTCAAACGACTAATTGATTGAAATGGTTGCAATTCGTTCATTTTGATTTGCTTCTGTAACTCAGCAAAGGAACAGAAAACACATGGCATCTAAGAGAGCGTTGCTCTCTTGCGCTCTCTGTATGGCAAAGAGCGCAATGAGCGCGTGGCAAACACATGGTTTTTGTTGTTGCCAAAACGTAGAAGTAGCAAAAGAAGAAGAAGCAGCGCTTACAGTTACCTCGCATTGTTGTTCTTGCACAGTGGAACAACAAAATAACACGTTTAGTTACAAAATATTACAAAATAATGGAACTAAAAATATTAAACTTAAGATTGTTTTGTATTGTATTGTTTAGGTTAGCAAAAGAAGTTAAAAACAAATGGAAATGTACATTATCATAATTGCTAGTGCCTTTGTGACTAACGTGTACTATTGTTAGTCATATTGATAAAACCTAATTAAATGTGAATTAGTATAACAAGCTGAAATAACAAATTGTTGACCCACTGCATTTACATAAATGTATTAAAATGCTTCTGTGTGGGTTAACATATGTCACACACAGCGGCGAAAAAGTCAATCACATCCATACAGTCACGGTTTTCTCTCTCTTTATCTCTCCGGATTTGTTGTTATTGTTTTTATCGTTACCCACCCGCGCGCAAATAACAAAAATACAATGTATCGGCATTTACTAGGTGAGAACGTGAGAGAGAGAGATATATGCCGTTATTGTTTTTACGCTGCGTGCGTATTTGTTTTTTATTTTAATATCGCTCTAGTCTTGGTAACTCTCTTCGCTTTTCGTTCTATTAATGAAAATTGCAATGCGAACGTGTTAATTAGAGAGAATGAAAGACGGAAAGAGAGCTGAAAGAAACAAACAAAGCAAGCTAAAGAAAGTCAGAAAGACGATAAGCAACAAAAAGAAAAAAAGGCAAGTTCTTATCGTTCGGTTTGTCATCCAAATGAAATATAAAAAATATTGATGATTGCCCAGACAAACACAAGCGCACAGAGAAAGACAGAGAGAGAGAGAGAGAGAGAGAGAGAAAGAAAATATCTCGCGTAACTCCAATAGGAATTGTTTTCCCTATTTTCCGGCCGGTTTTTCGCTTCCAACAAACCGATTTATCCAACAACGTGGCTTTGGCCAAAAATACGCGAAAGAGAGAGATAGAGCTAAGAGCGAAATTAACGAAAACGTGTGTGTTCGAAAATAGAACACTCATACACAGAAAAACAAAGCAGAAGCTCAAGTAGAAGCAGCTGAAAAATAGAGCTGTCACTCTATTTAAATATATGGGTTTCTTTTCATATTAGTTTTATTATCATTTATTGAAAATAACATTCAAAGTTAATCAATTAAACTAATATATGCTAATCTATTGCAAATCTATGTTAAATTTGTAAAATTGAAAATACACATGCAGATTTTTAACGTGCAGTTGTCGAAATATATTGGTATTAAGAATATAATAACATATATATAAATAGTTTACATTTGTTGACTTATGACAACCCTGGAGAAAAACTAACAAACAAAAATTATGTGGGACAAACGGCGCATAAACAAACTCTCTCGCAAAGATGTGAATCGAGAGACGCTAGAGAGCGGCCCCAATTGTTTACACACAACTTTTTACGCGACGCCACTGGTTTGTGTCGCTCTCTTTGGCTCTCCCATTTGTTTTGCCATGCGGTTATCGTTGTGGTACAGTGGAAACTGCTTTAATTGGCAATAAATTCATTTAAAATGATGTATCAATGATGACATACATATATAAAACGAGCCTAACTATGAGTATCTATAATGGAACATTTAACACAATCAACATTTCATATTTAAGCTACAATAAGTTTCGTAGGTGTGTAGTTGCCGCTTTGAAGGCCGCACTGTAGTTGATGTCGCCTGGTCTATATAAACGATCTCACATAAATAGTTATACAACTCGCTCTGGGGGCCAAATACCAATGGGTATTTCACTGCAAAGTGAAATTGCAGTGCGAAGGAATTTCGAAAAACCAGTTAGAACCATGGCAACGTTAAAGGGGGGGCTTATGTACATTACCAACCCGCCCCTGTGCACCCACAAAACAGCGCTTAAAACGGCGAAAAAACAAAAACAGTTAAACAGGTGCAAAAAAGCACAACAAGACGGAGCCAAAAGAGAGTGGAAAAGCTTAGAAAGAGCATGTTTCAGAGTGACCAAAGCTTCCGAATTCGTCGAACCAAACAACAACACGTGATTGAACAATATAGTCGTATCACACATTCCATACCCTATAAAATGTATAAATTCAACATAACCTTTATTCTCTAATTCAATAATTTAGATTTTCATTAGTTTTTTGCATTCATTCGAAATGTAAATGATAATTATCCTGTATGCTGTAGTGGAATCTAAAATGCATCAAAATTTCTATTATTTTATCAGCGATTCAGGCAAATGGTAAGAGCTTGTATACTGGGGTAGAAGAGCATTAATTGATCGACATCATTAGCACTTCTTTGGAATTCTTAATATTTGCAGATAACAAAATAATGAAGGTAAACTTTGACGTCACTGTGCACGTTCTTGCTATGCGAAGCAAATAACGACGACAGCGACAAATGTGGAGATCAACAGATCAGTCACTCAAAAAGCAAAACTAAAAAGCAACAAAAAAAAAAAATGAAACAAAACAAAAAGAACGTTTCGAAAAAGACATTTTCCACCGAACAAACACACACACACGTACACGCATACAAGCCGCAGGTATATCTGTATCTGAGTGTGGAGTATGTCTGTATAATCATGTGATACCAAAATAAAGAAAAATGTGAAAATCAAATAGCAGCGACAGCGGCCAGGGCACCAAAAGTCACAAGCAAAAGTGGAGCAATAAAGCAAACAAACCCGACAAAATTTTCTGTTGCCATGTACAACCCCAGACCACAACAGCACCATCCCCATGCCCATTCCCATCCCAATCCACATAACGCATCCGCACTCCCACGAAACCGTCCCATCAAAACCGAGCCATCAAACCATCTTCATCATCGCCACTATCACCCGTCCAAACGGTCCAATGTCGCATGTACATAGTTTCGGATCGGTCTCGAATATATGTACATATGCAAATGCCGAGCACCGAAATTGAATGCAATTAAAAGACACGCACAATATCACACACAGTTCACATAGGAATCGGATTGAAGATATCAGATACAGTATCTGTGTGAGTAGAAAGATAACTTCTCATAACAGGGGGTAAAATGTTTGAAACTGCCTTATCTTAACCTTATAATCTCGTTTTTCTACAATGTAGAACGTCTATAACTTATGGTTGGATAAGTCTTTAAGATAATTCTGACCATAACTCGGAAAATACCAATATGTGCATAGTTGGTAATAACCCTAACTAATTAACATTTGGTAATGATAAATGTACATACATAGAATACGGCCCTATCGAAATAAGGCCGTAATAAACGATTTATGAAAGCATTAGTTATCATTATTACTGAATGGTGCCGGTGAATGTATTAAATTTCAATGAACTGAAAACAAAACGATCATCAGCAACGGCACTGCATAGAGAAAAACACACAAGTAAAGATACAGAAAAGCGAAAATCCAAAGGCATTAACGAAAACATTTTTAGCAGCCAAAGTTGTAGAGATGTGGATCCGAATCGGTGGCTATATAGCCCCAAAAAAGTTGTTGATGGGACGCCAACGAGATATGTAGCTCATGCGGCGCACAGTGTCACAAGGCTTGCAAAATATGACACATGTATAAATGTAAAGGGAACCACGTTCGAGACAATGTTATGTATCTGGTTTATACATAGACTCTCCTAGATCTGAAGATTATTGCATTGCGCAGTTAATATAATCTATTGGCATATTTAGCCTACCTACGTCCATCCATGTAATCTGTAGTTTTTTGTATTTTTTACATGTATGCACGTATTTTGGATAATTAGAATTTCAAATCTGTATACCTTTTCCATTCGCATATCCACTGTATCCCTTGGATTGATCGGCAATCATATGCACATTGGTAATTGTTTTATCCCATTGCCATTTGCATTTACATACGTTCCACGGTGCCTCTTCATCGTCTTCTTCTGCCGCTTCTTCTCTTCCTTCTGGTTTGCCTTATTGTCTAGCTGAGGTCGTTGAAGAGCGAAGAGTGGCAGGGGAAGAGGCAGCGGTAAAGTGGGTGGCGGGCGGTTGGACGCATTTTTTTGCATTAAGCACGCTCTTCCGCTCTCTCTCTCGTTCTCTCTCTCTCGCCTTTCTTCGCATAAAGAGCGTGTAAAAATAGGCGGAAAATTGCATAGAAGTCAACGGTTTCCCCCATCCACGCTTGTTCGTTAATCTTTGTTTATTTTTATGGCATTTTTCTTAGACGCTTTTTGCTGCTGACTTGTCGTTTTCGTTTCATCGTTTGTTTTTTTTTTTTTAACTTTTTGGTTTTATTTTGGTTGTAATTTTGGATATTGTGCAGTTTGTTGTTAAGTTTATTTTCCAATTGTTGAATTCAAACGTCATTTTGAATTGCCTCGTTTTTAATTTTTGCCGAAATTATTTTGCTGTAAAGTTATTGATTTATTGTTGTTGTTATTCTAATAAAGTTACGTATTTGTTCTTATATTTTGATTGGTAACATTTTCTTTTATTGTTATTCTTATTATTGTTTCTTAAGAATGTCAAGCAAATGACTATTTCCTTCTCGCTTGCTCGCACTCTCCCTGCCTTTGTTGTTTTAGTTTCTTGTTATTGTTGCTCTTGATAAATGTCAAACAAATAACGGAGGCTCTTCTTCTCATTCTCTCTTCTCAGCTCATTTACGCTCTTCGAGTGGCGCTCTCTCCCACCTTTTGTCGCTTCTTCTCCCTCTTCCCTGCTTGCCGTGTATAGCGCCATCCCACTCGCACATAGCCTCACTTTGTTTTGACGCAAAATGATCCCGTTTACATTACATTTGCCTTTGATTTTGCGTCTTCGTTTTTGCCTATCTTCTTTTCTTGTATTCTTCATTTTACTTTGAACCATCCCCTATTATTACTGGATTTTTGTTGATGAAATA